TATATATATATATATATATATATATAAGGGTATGTTGAAAGGTAAAAAAGGGCAAAATGATTGGTTCACGTTGTGCAAAACTTGTTTTTCCTTCTTGGCGTCACTGCTTAAATGATTGCAAAATAGAATTTTAAAGAAGTTGACAACGATGATACTTGTTACTTTCGTACTTTTTATTTCTTCTACGTCAATAATAACAGTAGCAGCAGCTATTGATATACTTCAAATAGTTCCTGGCTTTACTAACAGCCATCTGTTATTCAATTATCGTCTGGCGACAACACTGTCACAGTTAGGACATCATGTAAAATTTTGGACTCAAATGGAGATGAATATGGTTTCCAGTGGCGTTCAGAAACCAAACAAAGACATTCCTGAACTTCAAATTTCTATTCATTTTAGCGACAAAATGAAAACTGAAGGATTAAAGGTTGACTTTTCAAACTCGGTTTATTTAAGTAACTTTCGTTTCATCAACTACTGGCACAGCTGCAAATTCTAGAAAAAACGTATATAACAAATTATTTCTTGAGATGAGGATTGCTAAAAACCTTAAATACCAATATGTCTTTTTGTTTCACTTTCCTGTTAAGGTTTTTCAAGAAATGATGTTCAAAAAAAATGACGACTATGATTTATGGTGGACGGGTCAGCAATTTAAAGACATGCGTACAGAGGCCTGTGAACAAATGCTGCAAGTTAGCCAGCAAGATTTAGATAATCTTTGGCAACATCGGAAACCAATGATTGCTATCGGGCACTTTCATGATCTATGTCCGTTGGCTTTAGCAAGAAAAGCTATGATTGAAAAGGTTGGTTCTTTATTTGCATATGGGCAACGGCATGAAATTTATACGGCAACGAACTCAATAAAGGTTCTTATAAAAATGTGTTCACAGTTTGAAAACACGCTTCCAGCTAATTTGGATTACTCATGGAACATCACTGTTTGACTTTGCTGCAATTCAAATGGGCATTCGTACCTATCCGTCCTACGTGCCGCACCCATTATCCTCTTACGGCGACCAAATGACATTTTTTGAACGAGTGGCCAATACGCTTTGGTGTTTGTCGACCTTAGACTTCGTTAACTTACCTCTTAATTTGCTTTACGAAGAGAACAGCATGTATCGAAGTGGGCTATTTTTTCAACTTAATAGTAAAATAACTGTTATACTGAGGTATAGTTATAAAGTGAGAGTGGTAATTAAGAGCCCAACCCAACTTATTTAGTTTGAAATCTTCAAAAGAGCACTGCATAATTTAAAACTTAGCCCCTTTCCCAGTGCGCACAAATATGCTCAAACAAACTAAGAGGAGTTCCTCAGAAGCACTTTTATGTCTGAATTAAATCACGAAATATTTCAAATAATCGAAAATTAAAAAAAGTGCCACTTTTTGTTCTCAGTTCAACTGCGTTTGGCAGTTTTCTTTACAGAAATGATGTCACCAAACGAACCCGACCTATGGAACCTGTCGAAAAATGTTCCTATTACTCTAATTAACGGAGAGCAGTTGCTGGACTTTCCACGACCGTTACCGTTATCTATAGCTTTCATCGGTGAAATTGAGAAGCGCGATAAAAAAAAGATTACTCTTGATCAGAAAATTCGTGCTATTGTGGACTCATCTGATCTTGGTTTTGTCATATTCTCGTTCGGCACTGTTTGCAATACATCCAGCATGCCTGCTTCCATGCGTGTCAATATTAGTAGTTATTGTTTTTTACTTCTCCGATACTTACTTAATAAAACTGATATCATTTCTATTGAAACAGTTGAGGGAAAATCATCGCTTAAAATTGAACTAGTTGTTCACTAAAAACTTTCCTCTCTTTTGCCTATCAGCTTTTATTTTAAAACGAATGCAGGATAATGAGCCATTTTCCACTCGGAGAAAGAACTACGAGTCACAGCTTTCATATTATAAGATTTCCATCTTAAAGAAGTCCTTCATTTGGTGGTAGAACTGTTGCTCATCAACTGATATAAAAAATAACTTTTTTTCTTTGGACTTGAGATATTTTTTTCATTTCTAGCATAATTACTTTCTACTACTACTTCCCAAGAAGAAAAACATTTAATTTTTAGAAAAGTTTTTTGGAGGCATTTGCGTCCTTCCCACGATACACTATTCTTTGGAGATTTGAAGGAGATTTCCCCGAGGCCAAAAACTACAAAAATGTTAAATTGTTTCGTTGGCTACCACAGAAGGAACTTATGTGTAAATTTGGTTTTATTTCTATACACAACAGATAATATTCGTTGCTGTTACGGAATTCTGTAAGATAAGTCAAAAAATTCCAGTAAGGAGAAATTTTTATTACTTTATGAAACTTTGATACCTGTTTAGACCATCAGAAAATGAAGCTGTTAATAGCGCACGGAGGATATAACAGCTTTTTGGAGACTGCCAAAGCTGGAGTTCCTGCACTGCTGATGCCTTTATTTGCTGATCAGTTCATAAATGCTCGTCGAGCAGAACGATTTGGCATAGCCGAATCACTTGATAAGACGAATTTGACATCGTATAACATCAGGCAGAAAATGACGATGGTCTTAGAAAATCCAAGGTAAGTAAACAAACGAATTTTTGGTGGTAATGTGTTTGGCTGATTAAAACGTAATAAGTTTTGTTTAAGAGACGCATAACGGATCAAGGATAAATTTTTTTCAGGTATAAGAAGAAAGTAAAAAAGTTGTCGGTAATGTTGGAAGATAAGCCGATATCCAATCCAATGGCAGTACTTTCTCACCGGCTCAGAATTTCTTTGAGAAACCCAAATTATTTTTCGCTCAAGACACGATATAATCTAAATTTTTTTCAACACTACTCATTAGATTTCCTGGTATTGCCTGTGATACTGATCTTTCTTCTTTTATAGAGGATTACTTTTTCAAATAAGAAACGGTACTGTAAACATAAAACTAAAACTGATTTCCCTCTTACAATGAAAGATTAGGTTCTTCTTTTTTACCTGTCAATGTAGTATTTCGCTGCAGAGAATATTTCTTTCTAGATGATCAAAAGTTCTAAAACTTTCAAAAAATACCAGAAGAATGAGAATTCAAAAATCTGTTATTAAAAGTTCTGCCCGTTTTAGGAGTATCTGTGCCATCTAATCTCTATTCTTTCAAAAATTACTTTTTCAAAAAAGAAACGGTACTGTAAACATGAAACTAAAACTGATTTCCCTCTTACAATGAAAGATTAAGTTCTTCTTCGATCTACCGTTCCATATTGTACCTTTTTCGAATTTTATGTCGTGAAAACTCATTCCGCCTACCAGTTTTCAAACCATTGGAATATTTGTTGCCCGCTAAGAAGTGAATGAATAGACCTCTAATTATCAGTGCACTATTACATCAGCACTCTTAGGTATCTGCTTGAAGAACAACTGCTGATAAACATCTTGCCTAGTTTTGGTAAAAAATAACATCTTATGTCTCGAGTAATCAAAAACTCCTATATTTTCATGTAGAATATGCGAAATTTTGCTGCTGTAATATCGACAGCTTCTAGGATTTTAAAACCTGAGGGATAAAGATGAATTAATGGTCATAGTCTGGAGGAATCGTCTTCAACAAAGGAGCTTTGATAAAAACTTACTGTTGGTGCTAATACTAAAGAAATGACACCTTTGTTTTTAAAAGTTTCCTCAACAGAAGAATTAACCTATAACAAATTTCTTGAAGTTCTACTAGACATTATCCCGCTCAAGTTGACCTCCTATCCTTGGTACATCTTTTAAAAGCCTGTCTAAAAAACTAATTCTTTCAAGGTTAATTACTCATCGAGTTTCCAGACCTACGAATCTAACATTTTAGTAGAAAAAACAAAATCCATTACATTTCTAGGGATAACAATTATAAAAGTAACGTATAGTAAAGTTTATTCCGAAAGTAGTAAATCAAGTCTAAATTACTTTTTAATTTGTCGACTTCGTCTTCTAGTGGCACCTTTTTCACTAGTTAGATTTCTGCTACTGAAACACCTATCCAAACCAATCTCTTTTGTAAGTCCTAAGATTTCAGTCGCAAAAAAGCAAGGAATGCTAAAATACATATACAATTTATTACACTACCCTTCTATTGTCCATAAAGTTTTGACGGTATTGCTCTTTGATTCTAACAGCCAAAAATTCATCTGATTTCAAAATTTTCAATAAAAGCGAGTTCCACAGACCTTCCAACTACGTACATCGACTGCATTTTCCCTCTGATCATTGTCCGGTAGTCCAAAAATACTTCCTGCAGTTCTCAACTAATAGCATCCTACTTACCAGCAACACTTTTCTGCCGTAAAAGTTTTGTCAGTAACGACACTAAAGATATTTAGGTGAACAAGAAAACAAAAAATACATTATGATAGTGGAGACAAATAATAAAAATTTAGCTTTGTCTTCCTAATAAAAAGATGACTGCCATTTAACGGTTGCGTAATTTCTTTTCAAAGGTTGAGTAGCGTCCATAATATTTCACTACAAATAACAGCCCCATCTGAAGACATTTCAGTTCTTCAGTACTTCGGGAAGCGCTTGCAGCAATTCAACTACTTTCAACTACTGCGTATTTGCGCCTTCATTAGACTTCTACCGCTTCGTTTTAAGTGTTGGATGAATGTGGCAAACAGCTGTTTGGAGTAAAACCATGAATTCTCAACGAAAATCATCAGTCCTCTCTCGTCCAATTGGCTCCGCCACTTGCCGTCAATCCACGATTGTCATGCAGACACCGTTTTAAGGAAGGTGACCAACTTCAGATAATTCATTTGCATTTGCATAAACGTGGTATACTGCGCGAATTTTGCTAAACAACAAAAGGTTGAATTCAATTGTTTGATCTTTGATAAAAGCAACTTTCCTTAGTAGTCACAGAAGTTAGTAGTTATAGAAGCATTTGCTCACTCCCTATGGAAGTAAAGGGTAAATTCAATTGTACTTTTCGATTTGTCGCTTTAAATAAAAACCAGTTGGCACTATGCCGACTTGGTGGAATTTTGCTTTCATCCCTTGGCCAAAATAAGTTTGACCTTGTTTCATTGTCCTTTAAGGTGCGTATTAGTGTACAACAAGTTTTTCTAACTTTAAAGGATTCAAGCAACGCTAACTGTTTGCTGAAAAATGAATTTATTACGTTTTGCTTGAGCTTAGCACAAGCCAGGAAAAGTAATAGTACCATTTCGTGATGTATGCAGCATTATAGTTCTTTTTGGCGGTACCATTTTCTTTTTTCAGAGGATTCTGAAACTTATGTTTTGGCCGAAACTGGTTCGTAAATGTGTTACGACAAAGGGTACTTATCTGTTTTCACCTCACGATCCAAATACTATTGTTGTGCTTATAGGTTGGGCAGGTGCCAGAGATAATAATATTGCTAAATACTCTCGTCTTTACGAAACAAGAGGGTAAAGATTTCAAAAAGTCATTTTTGATGTTTCAAATGTAGTTAGGTGAAAGAAAGGTGGGATGGCATATCATATTCAGTTTATGAAGTCGAAAATTATGAATATTAACTCAACTTATCAAAACATTTAGTTTTTTCTTTGCATATTTTTTAGTACAACTGAATTTTGTGATTTTAAGTTGCTTAATACTGAAACGCTCTTTTACTTGCGTAATTCGCTTGGGATTGCGTGGAAATCAAGTCGAGTAAAAGCTTTTATGTTACATCGAAAATTGGTTGTGTAATGATTGCTAAATGGAAAGAATTCTTTTTTGAAGGTTATATTTTCTGGAGGTTACTTGAATAATTTATTCTCTTAGTAACTGTTTTA